TTATAGAATATGGCAGCTTGGGTGGTTAACATCAAGATAATCGCTTATTGATTTTACAATGCAGAGTAAGTTCACTGAGCCTAAGACTTGACATTCGATTTCAAAGCAGGTTGAGTTTGAGCATGGGAGGATCAGATTGATCCGATCAATAGACTATGTAACGTAGTTTGAGTAGTCATAGGTATATTTAGTTGTTTATATGTTATCATCTCTTATCATTATTATCATCTAATCTATGGCGGCAAGATTAGAAGAAAGTCTACTAGACGAACTCAAATGCTGTGTCGTGAACGAGTCTCTATATGACCGTTGCTCCCTACAGGGTATAGTCGGAGGAGTATATACTGGACACTCAGTTCTACAAGCGCGATTGTTGAGAGTGAGAGAATATGATGAAGACAGTCTGAGTTGGTATGTTTCAGCGTATTCTGTGACCAAACAGAGGGCCTCTGTCAGAGGCAGATGAATCGATCTAGTGGAGTATTCTATCGCTTCATGTTCTTTATGTGTTGTATGACTGGACGTATTTTTGGGATTAAACTTCCCTCAAAACACGAAGCTTCGTGCATAATGCAGTGCGAAGATTTGTTATGTATTGGAGGTTGGTGTTGGTTGGTAGACTTGACTTGGGTCAATGGTGCTCGACTAGGTCATCGCGACTCCTCTATTCATCTCCTCTCTACGTCTTTTCCTTTGTTACCAGTGGAAAATCTGCAAGATCATATAGTACCTCTATCATTGAGGCTCTATGCTGTCTCAGTATTGTGACTGATTAATTAACTTTGTTGTGAGGAGTTTCAGCAACGATTCCCTGAACTGAACTTTTTCATACTATGAAGGAGTTCAGTCTTGAATAACTATTGTTGAACTAGTATGAACTACCCTTTTATAATTATTTCATCTATTAGATGTTCCCGAACTGTGGTCCTTGTCGGTAGTTGTGGTAGGTCCGACCCGGACTACCCTCATACGGATCCTAAAATAGAGTGTGCCTCTCATTTGGTTATGCTCAACTCGACTACGGATTGGATTGCATCATCAGTGATGGGCCGTGTTGCAGGCCCACTGTGACAGAACTGTCTTATTTCGACATTGCCTACCTTGCACTACTCGTAAGTGACTATTTGTGTTAGGTTTAATCGTACCATTTCACACAACAGACTGGCAATGCGTTCGTAAAATATATGATTTTGATGAGGGAAAGGAATACATGAATAAGAAACAAACCGGAGAGGGATGATGGGCCGTCCAACATAGCAACAGCTTGTTGAAAATATTGTGTCCAAATCATGGAAACGACTCTGGAAGAGAAAATAGTTTAACTACTCTAAAATTTTCGTGAAGCTCACAATCATAGGTACGCATGGAACATTCTCCAAGACTACGACACGGGCGAATGTGTGACGCTCACACTGTGAGCCTCACAGTGTGAGGGCCAATATAAGTTCTATCATACTATTATCGAACTGTATACTGGCTAAGTGAAGAAAACTGCGGGATAAACTGAACGAAACTTGGATTCGAAGTCTAAGTGAGAACCTCGACTTTTTGTCCTGACTTTTTGGCAATCTTGTCGGAAGTGTCAGCTCCGACAAGCTGTGGACATTCGTCATAAGTGACTTATGTGTCGTACGGGAACACTCTCGAACCGGCAGGAAGATGTCAACAAATCCAACCATACAACAGATACACAGTGTACCTGTTCCCGGACATTATGGGCCTCGTGGCATGTCGCCCTTAAACATACAATAGCCGAGCCCTGTCATTGCCAGAAGACTCTGCGGCTGCCCCTACAATAACAAAACCAACTGAAAGAACTTAGGGTCGATTCCAAAAATAGAAGAATAGGAATTCGTGGCATGAATTTCGGTTCGAAATAAATAGGGATAAAAAAGGAGTTGATTGTGCCATAAATGGTCTCGTGAGGTGACACATCGTGCGATCTCATCCACACTGTGGATTCCACGGTCACTGTACTACTTGTAACGGAAAGCCTCACATAGAGAGCCGATAACAGATTCGATGAAATGAAATGCATAGGATTACGGGTAGTGAATTGACACTTGAAGAGAACTTACACCGTCACATTCGTCGATTGGTGGCAAGCCTGACGATTCCAGTTTTGATCCGACCATCTCTGACCGGCGATCCCCACGCCGCGATAGAATCGCCTTCAAATCTTGCGCTCTTGTGACCACTCGTGATTCTTCAACCACGGGTTTCCACATCGTTCATGGGTAGGAATGTCACAAAACCGGACCTCTTCACTCCATCTAAAACGTCGCAGATTTGTTGAGACACCTAATTCTCACACGTCTCAGATGCTTAGTTACTTGATGTTGAGATACTCAACGGCCAAAACTCATCATCATTCTCATGAAATAACTCCGCCTTGTAGTAGTGGATGTTGAACCTGGCATAGACCATATGTATCTTCCCTGACGAAAGTCGTAGCAGACTCAACGAGTGTCGAAGTAATTGAAGCCAAGGAACTCCTAGAGCTATTTTCGTACGCAAACCCAATGAGCGGAGCGAAGTGAGTTCACTTTCCATGAAATTGAACACACTCCAACACGCCAAGAAACCCGCGAAAAATACTTGAACACAACCACTGCGTTTTTGGCGCGATATCCAGCCATGACCAAATCGAGTACTTCTGAGTGAGGTCGCTAGGGCGCGTAAATTGATATGAATTTTTCCATTTTTTTCACAAAAAATCGAAAATTTTTCAGTTCAATTCCTGGAAGTGGAGAATTTGTCATTTTTATCAAGGAGAGTAAAACATATTTTCATCAAAAATTTCTATCCCAGAATTTTCCCCAAAAGAGAGCTTATTACTACACGCACTGTTTAATGCCACAGACGTTTATAATGTGTGTAACTTTTTCCTTACTAACGTTGGAGTTGCTATTGCGGAAATTAATTTTCTAAAATTTCACCCGTGATATGAAAAACGTCTTACAAATTTCACTTGGCGTAAAATGCCTTCACACGGAGACTAACACACATGAACTTTTTCCTTCCGTTTAACGTGATTTCTGCTAGTTGTTTGGATTTTCCAACTATGGCTAAGGGCAACGTATCGCACACTAAAAGAACGCTCGTGCGATGCGCTACGTTTTTCCTCCTACCGCCGTTTATTTTCCTTTTTCACTGGGGATGGATTACTCTAAGTAAAATATAATTTGTCATTTTTTCGTGAAAATTTTGTGGCTGTTTTCAGGCGTGGCTTTGGGAATTTCGGTGGTGGCAAGTTTGGTGATGATATTTGGGAAAAGCTCAACTGTATCGAGATATCCGTTTCTGTGGAGGCTGATCGTAATAGAAGATTTTCATTGGTGCTGATGAATTTATTGATAATCTTTCCATGGAAATTTTTGGAAAATTTTGGGAAATATTCCGTGAATATGGATTTAAATCTAAACGAAATTTTTTCGCAGAATTTTGTGAAATTACTGAGAAATTTCGGTGTGAAACTTGGCAAAATGTAGATATTTTTACAGAGTTCGGAAAAACGTTCACGAGTGTTATGATGATATTTGGAAAGAGCTCGTGTGTGCCGAAATATTCTTTTTTTGGTGACCAACGTGAAGTGGCGTAATACTCTATGTGAACTGTAGGGCGTATATGTTTTCGCGAACGGTAACACAAGTAAAATATGAAATATGTTTTTACTGTTTTTTCATATCACCAGTGAAGTAATTTTGGGGGAATCGTAATAATGCTGATGATTTTTTTGGAAAATTTTATGAAATTACTGAGAAATTTCGGAGTGCATATGGCAAAATATTTTACTTTTTACGAAGCTGGAGAATATCGCGTGAATTTGCTTGCGAAATTTAATTTACGGAACACTTTCCACAGCACTTCATGAAAAAACGAGAAATTTCGCAAAATATTTGATATTTTCACGAAGTTTGGGAAACATTATATGAGTATGAAATTTACTATCGGAATTTTTTTCCGATATTTTTTGAAATTATGAAAATTTTCCAGAAATTTTTCTCAGGTATTTTATCTAATACAACTGCTTATCTGCGCAGTAGTGCACAGCGCGATTTCACCAGAATTTGATGAAAAAACGAAATCAATTTTTGTGTTTTCCCCGGACGGGAAACTCAGAGGAAACGAGAATGCTCAAGCTGCAAACGCTGGGAGTAAAAAGGAAAAAGGTAATTTACTGGGAATTTTTTTTCTCACAAATTTTAGAATTTTGTGCAAAAATTTTTCATGGACAACGACGTGTGTTGGTGAAATTGTCGTTGGTTTCGGTACGATTCTACTCGAATGAATATGTGAACTTCTGAGCTCAGCTGAGGAAAGCACCGGAATAATTTACCCATTTGTTTGATTTCAGGACCTGACGATTTTGCTCAGCCCGGTGGTGCTCTTCCCGGAGGATTCATGTCGCAACCGAAGATTAGCGTTGTAATATTTCGGTTGGAAAATTTCCGATTTGGTGAATTTTTGGTTAAAATTTTTCTCGTGAATTTTGAGTATCGAAGGAAAATTTTGGTGATTTTATAGTAAAATTATGAAAAAAAATACAAAAAAAGTTTTATTTGGGAGTGTTAGTTACCGTAAAAATTTGTGATTTAATTTCACGATGAAGTTCTCAATTAGGAATTTCGGAAATCTGAAAAATTATTTTCCTGCTTTTCCAGCGATGTGAAAAGTGGGTAAAATGCTCCTTGGTTTCAAAGCGTTTAATCGCGCCGCTGTTTTTCGGCGGAATTTTACTCATTTCAACTAAGTGAAAAAAATAAAAAAATAAAAATACACGCAAAAATAAAAAATTTTGCGATTTATGATGTTGAGAAAAGTTGGTATATAGGAGTTAAAAATTTCGATTTATTTTTTTCGCGCGCCATGAAATTATGGGTTTTTCTCTTCAGGTGTTGCCCTGTGCTAACGAGGGTGAATTTATGGTGAAAACGGCGGAGTCGTTGAACGAATTCACGCCGGCATTTTCCCTGCATGAAGTTGTAAGTGTAATGGTGGGAAAATTTTCGAAAATTTTCCGTTATTTTTTCGGAAAATCTGTCGGGAAATATGTAGATAGTGTTGATGACAATATGAAAATTCTGAGAAAATTTTCGGGAAATTCTGGTGGGTTTTTGTATTTTTATATCGTATTACTCGTGTTGAGTTTTGTAATCAGCTGGGAAAAGTTGGCAACTATAGTGTTTCGTATGGAACGTTTAATCGCGCTGTTCATGAGCACGAATGGTATAATCGTTCGTGAAGTTTTGTTTAAAACGTTTATATTGTTATGGATAGTTTATTAACACAATCGTTATAATCGTTCGTGAAGTTTTGTTTAAAACGTTCATATTGTTACGGATAGTTTATAAACACAATCGTTATAATCGTTCGTAACATTTTGTTTAAAACGTTTATATTGTTGTGGGTAGTTTATTAACACAATCGTTATAATCGTTCGTAACATTTTGTTTAAAACGTTTATATTGTTACGGATAATTTATTAACACAATTGTTATAATCGTTCGTGAAGTTTTGTTTAAAACGTTTACAATTTCACGCACTGTTAATTACCACATCGAAACCGCCGGGGAAGTTTTATTCAAAACGTCAGTTTACTGCAGTTTCACGATCCGTTTTACGTGAAGTGGCGTCGTAATACTGTGTGAAAAACGCGGTGATATGCAGTAGTCGTGAAATATATTTTTCATATCACTAGGGTGGTGAAACTCTATTACACTGTTTATTAACACGAACGTTTATGTGTTGAAAAATTTTGGTTTCAGGTTGTTGTTGATGATGGTAGCACGCCCCCGTTACGAACTTTGCTAACAGATGAACAACAGGAAAAGTAAGTCGGAAATTTCAAATATTTTACGTGTTTTTCGTCCAGTGAATTGTAGGACATATATGTTTCCGCGACCGATGAAAAAAGTGAAATGTGGAATTTATTTTTCACAAGAAATTATTTCGTGAAAATTTTTAGGATTTTTTTGCGAACAAAATTTTTTTTTCAGGTTGAAAATAACGTGGGTTCGCCATGAGCATTTTACTGGTCTTATAAATGCCAAGAGTAAAGGTAAGATCGGGGGTGGCGTATCTTAGGTTCAGCTTGGTAAGATACGGAATAGGTCCGATTTTGGCATGTTTGGTAGGTGCGGCAGCGGCTACGGGTGATATTATAATTTTCTTGGATTGTCATGTGAAGCCAGCTGAAGGTTGGGATAAACCTATAGTGAATTATATAAGGAGTAATTACAAACGTAATAAGATGGGTAATTTATTCCGATATCGGAGTTTTTCGCGCAGTTTGATGCGGATTTTTCGAGGAAATTTTTCCCGGTAAAGAAAGTCTCATAGAAATTATAATGAAAATTTTCAACGATTACTTGACAGTTTTTTTATTTGTATTTTTTTAAATCACAACGAGTAGAAGTTGTCAAACTCCGGGAGAATCAGAAATTTTTTTCTGCTCGAATGAAATATTTTCCGACCCTGTTTTTAATCTTTTGGAATCGTTGAAGAGCGGTGATGGAAAATAATCAGGAATTGGAAAAATTTTCGGGAAAAATGAAGAAATTTCTTCACGACAGGTTTTGCGATTTTCATTTTGAATTCGTGTGAGAAGTGATTAATAATTATTTATTTATTTCCATTTAGGTGTTGTCGTACCATCAATCACTGATCTTGATCCCGATACGTGGGAGGAGCACCGTGGAGGGGGAGGCATGTCGAAATGCTATCTCACTTGGGACGCTGATTTCAAATGGTTTACATCTGATGATATGTAATCTTCACGAAATAATAAATTATTGAAATTTTGGTATTATGATTTAAAGATTTTCTTTATTAAGGTAATTTTGGTAAATTTTGGTAATTTCTTTATTTAAGATTTTTGTTTGTTAAAGATTTTCTGTATTATGAAAATTCACACACGACTTGGTGTATAAACACTTTATAAAATTGCTACTAACACATGTAGTTGACCACGCATATTTTTCCGTAGATTTTATGAGTTTTGCATTAGCTTGACGGTTGGAATTTTGAATATATTTTTCTGCGGTTTTCCGAATTCTCCGGGGATTTCCAAAACTTAATTATGAAAATTTACGCACGACTTGTGTAAATTTTCAGAAAATTTATATTGTCATCAACACGTGTAGTTTCCTCTGCAATGGGAGTGTACATATGAATTCGGGTAGAAACGTACAGAAACCAAGAAAAATTTCCCAAAATTTGTTCAGGATTTTTTTTCATATTGTCACCAACACATGTAGTTGACATCAGAATTTCACATTTCCTTGATGAAATTTATCGCGGTTTTACCCGTTTTACGTGAAGTGGCTTAATACTCTGTGAAAAATGCGATATTCGCGGTGATATGCAGTAGTCGTGAAATATATTTTTTCACTAGTTGTTTTTTTCATATCACTAAGCACTATTATTATTAATGGAGTTTCACCAGTCTTACGTGAAGTGGCGTAATACTCTGTGAAAAACGCGGTGATATATATATTTTTTTCACTAGGTTTTTTTCCATATGGTGAAACTTTAACATTTTAACAGTTACGTTCCCATCATGTCGGGAGGCTTGCTGGCGATGTCTAAGAAGTGGTGGGACGAAACGGGAGGATATGATGAGAATATGCTGGGATGGGGAGGAGAAAATATCGATCAAAGTTTGCGGATATGGCTTTGTGGAGGAGAAATTGTAAGAAAATTTTCGGGAAAATTTTCTGGAAAATTTTCGAAATTTTCTGGGGAATTTTTCGTGAACGGGATACGGAGGAGAAGATATTGATCAAAGTTTAGGGATATGGCTTTGTGGAGGAGAAATTGTAAGAAAATTTTCGAAATTTTCTGGAAAAATTTTCGTGATTTGGATGGGAAGGGGAAATTTTTATTGAGGCTTACGGATATGGCTTTGTGGAGGAGAAATTGTGATTTGAGAAAATTTCGGGAAAATTTTCCGGAAAAATTGAGTGCTTTTCGAAGTTTGCGGAAATGGCTCTGTAGCGGAGAAATTGTATGTTGCGATGGGAAAAATGAGGATTTTTCTCGAAATTTCCCATAATTTTTGGGAAAAAATGGGTAAATTTAGGACTTACCCCGAAATTTTCCGTAAAAATTGCCGAAAAGAAGGGAAAACTTGCATTTTTGGTGAATGTGATGTTAGCATAGGAGTGGTAGAGGTGGTGTGGGGAAAATATGAAATTTTTGGGAAAATTTTGGGAAAATTTTTATTGGTTTCTTTGCTGCACTTCTACCCGAATTCATATGTAGACTCCTGAGCTCAGTAGCTGAGGAGAGCAAACATATATTCCTACTCCAACACAGTGTTGTGGTAGTAGTTGAAAATGAAAGCGTTTTTTTTCGTATAATCGTGCGTGAAAAATTCGCATTTTCGGAATCTCGCCGAGTTGTGGTTGCGCACAGCGAAGATTTTTTGAAGGTCAAAATTGGACCTGTTTTGTATCTTACCAGGTTAATGCTAAAGATTCCTACGTTGCGCATATGTGGAGGTTGTCGAGTCGGCCAAAGACACAAGCGAAATATACAGTCCCTGGAGGAGCGGTCACCACTAATAGGTAATTGGGATAGCGTCACGCGCCACGAAATTATTTTGTGGCGCGTGACAATTTTTTTTCACTTTTCTGTGAAATAATTTCGTGGCGCGTGACGTTATTTTTTTTCAATGCAACATGAAAATATTTCGTCATGCGAGACTTATTTTTTCACTATGGAAATAGTTTCATGGCGCCTGACGCTATTTAACTTGGCCCACTCTACTACGGAATAATTTCGTGGCGCGTGACGTTATTTCCTCAATGTTCTATGAAATAATTTTGTGGCGCGTGACGTTATTTTTCCATGAAAATATTTCGTCATGTGCGACGTATTTTTTCACTATGAAATAATTTCATGGCGCGTGACGGTATGTAATTTTTTCTCTTTTCTGTGGAATAATTTTGTGGCGAGTGACGGTGGTTGATGATGATGGTGTTTTCTTTTGTCACTGCGCCACGAAATTAGGTACCGTGCTGCGATGGCTTGGTATGACGAGTGGTTGGAGAAGCTCGAAACGTATCCGGAATTTTCCCAATTCGCACCGGGAGGATTGCGGTATAAGGATCGGCCTGATATAAGTAGGAATCATGTTGCGCGCACAGCGAAGAATATCTTTTGGCGCACATTGAAGAATATCTTTTGGCGCACAGCGAAAAATATCTTTTGGCGCACAGCGAAGAATATATTCGTTGCGCGCACAGCGAAGAATATAAGTTGAGCACAGCGAAGAATATATTTGTTGCGCGCACAGCGAAGAATATCTTTGGGTATCTTTAGGTAATATATTGGAAGTTAAAGAGAGGTTGAAGTGCAAGCCGTTTGGATGGTTTCTGAGGAGGTAAATTTTTTTCCGGAAAATTTTGGAAAAATTTTGGGAAATTTTTTCGTAGGTTTAAGAAGGTTTATTTTGATGCGGGTTTGGTGCCAAAGGCGGTGTTCCATATTAAAGATGAGCGCACGAATATGTGCATTGAGAGGAAGGGTGGTAGGAAGGGGACCTGTTTTGTATCTTTGAGTGGGGAACCTAAGATACTTGTGAAGCGTCACGCGCCACGAAATTATGTGAAGTAGTTTGAGCGTATAGGAGCTGAAAAATGTTGGAGTTATTTTCATTCGTTTGAATTTTTGAGGTAGGAAAATTTGATATTTTTTATTTTTGTGACTTTTAGAAGAAAAAAAATCAGAATTTTTTTTCGATTTTTACACGATGTTGTAAGTTTGAAAACCAACGTTTGTTTTAGTCTACGAATCGACTTATGAATTTCGAAGGAAAACTTTACCCTAGTGATATGAAAAAAATATTTCACCACTACTGCATACCGCCGCGAATATCGCGTTTTTTTTTCACAGAGTTTTACGCCACTTGACGTAAAATTGGTGAAACTCCATTAATTCTTATACAGTTTTAGTAATAATATTAGTAATCAAGTAATTCACGAATTGGTAATATTTAGTATTTTTATTAAAGTTTCACCACCCTAGTAATATGAAAAACACTAGTGAAAAAATGTATTTCACGACTACTGCATATCACCGCGTTTTTCACCGAGAATTACCCAACTTCACGTTAACTTCGTACTAGATCTTTTTCACACAAAGTAAGACTCTAGTTTCTCACATATTCGTTGTAGGTACTAGAGTAGTGTTGCGGCCTTGCTCGGAACAAGCGCC